GAGTGAGTGAGTGGGGGGGGGGGGGGGTTGAAAGGGTTAGAGGGAAAGTAAAAGAGAAACTTGGAGAAACGGAAGGACGGGAAGACCTTTTATTTGTAAATTCCGGTGTCCTCGTCAACGTCACTGCAACTGATCGCGCTTCAAAGATCAAGGGTAATCATTCGTTTCAGGTGACAAGTGGCTCGTGTCGTGCTTGGGAGTACTGCACTTGAGTAAAGGTCTCTTTTATCGAGTAGTTCCAGCCGATCAAGGGTTTGGATCTAATGGAGAATCATCCGGAGCACCGAGCGCCGAATACGCTGGGGTCTTTCGTTTTCGATTATGGTGGTGCGGGGCCTGGGTCGAAGTGCTCGTTGACGATCGACTTCCGGCTGTTCATGGACGACTCGCATTCGTCCAGAGTCGTCACACCGACCAATTTTGGCCTGCGCTTCTGGAAAAGGCGTACGCCAAGTGAGTCTCTTGATTTGTTATAACGGTAGGAGCTGCCACCCACCGTTCACGGCTCAGCTTATCTCGGATCCTTATCATTCTTCTGCGTGTTTCAAGACTTCACGGCTCCTACGAGGCTTTGAAATATGGCACTCTCCTCGATGGTCTCTCGGATTTGACGGGTGGCATCACAGAGAGCATAGCCATTCGTCAGGATCCCACGGGATGCGGCCGAGTACTCGCAAAACTACTCGATATGACCTCCCTTATTACGTGTACTGTCAATAACAGTCACAGCAGCAACACCAATAACAATAACAACAGTAACAACAGCATTCAGCAACAGCAACAGCTACTACCGCAGCAGCAACAGCAGCAATCGCAGCCTCAACCACAATCGCAACAGCAGCAGGCAAGTAATTCGGTTGACACATTCCTTGCTGGACTTTCATTAATTCCACAAACCCTTCCGTTTCTTGTCACTGGTATTTCAGGTCCGTCCGAGTATAGAGAAACTGGCGAATGGAATACAAATGGGAATAAATTACAGACTCTACTCAATCGAACGTGTAAGTAATCAAAAGGATAAGATTAAATTGCTCCTCTCGAGATGAACTCGAGATGACAATAACATACTCCATCTCTGATTTATTGAAATAACTTCACTTTGTATTTGGTACTCTCCGTACATAACAAACATAACTATTAATCGTGGGCAAACTTAAACGAAGGATAGATAATAGTAGTACAACCATAGGTCGAGACGTTTGGCGGGGAAACGATTCAGCTGGTCAAGCTGCGAAATCCCGTTGGTCCAGGAGGTGAGTACGTTGGAGCTTGGGCCCGCGGTGCTCTCGACTGGGAGGAAGTTCCACCGACCGAGAGAGAACGACTCGCCGTTCGCAATATGGCTGATGGAGAATTCTGGTGAGAACGATCTCTCTCGTCAATTTTTAAAATACGAAATTTTTTACCTGCTTCTCATTTCGCGATGTTTCCTCATCCTCCCATTTTCATTTAACGATCTCTGTCGTAGGATATCTTACTCGGATTTCGTAAAAACGTTTACGCACCTCGAAGTAGTTCATTTGGACGCAGAAACTGCAAGAGACGAACCTTCTCTTCATAGCAAACATACCTGGCACATGAAGCTTTATCAGGGCAGCTGGAGGAGAGGTGTTACTGCCGGAGGCTGTAGAAACAATCCAGGTTCTTTTTTATCGCTAGCAAACAGTACAGAGAAACACGCAGAAATGCACAGACACACACAACAGCACTAAACTCTCCATACATCCAATGCTGTTACAGAAACATTTCACATCAACCCTCAACTTCACCTCATCCTCAGTGAAATGGAAAAAGTAATAGTCTCTTTAAATCAGCACTCCATCATGGAGCCAAAGGTGTGTTTCTCATTTTTCTCTGTGAATCGAATAGAGAATCTTGTAGTTGAAAAGAACCTGAATCATTCCAGGTGATTGGCTTTACCGCATATGCATTGCCAAAGAACAGCGCAGATTCGATAAACAGACAGTTCTTCAAGAAAAATAAATCTCTGATGAACTCGCAGTACACAAATAGCCGACAAGTCAGCCATAGATGTCAACTCGAGCAAGGCGGCTATTTACTTGTACCGACCACCTTCGAACCCACGCAAGAAACTAGTTTCACTCTACGCGTCTACAGCAGTAAACCGTTAAAGCTAAAGTACGTGCACATCGTCAGGATAATATCTCTTAATCATGCATCAATCAATCATTTTAATAATTGAATCAGGTTGCTAGACACGCCCCCGTCTCTGACGAAGTCAGCGATCGTAAAGGCTCCCGCATTGGAAGGAAAGGGTTTCTCCCAGTATGAAGCAGTCTTTCTTCAGTTGGCAGACGAACATCGTACGGTCAACGCCTTTGAACTTCAGGAACTCCTTGAAGCCTGCCTGCCTAATGGTGTGAATTCCTTTTCGCCCTAACTTCGTAAATTCTAACGTGCTCTCTTAGTCTTGACGTCTTTTGATTTTTCTTCTTGTCAGATTACATCAAGAGTTGCGCCTGCATGGAAGTTTGCCGACAGGTGGTCCTCACAATGGATGTATCCTTAACTAAGCTGAAAATTTTGCATTAACATGTCTTTTGAATTCTCATCATTATGCTTTAATTTTTCTTAACATTAATCGTCAACAGAGCTCGGGTAGTGGCCGCCTAAAATTTAACGATTTCAAAGATCTGATGTGCAGTCTGAAGTATTGGCAGGCAGCATTTAAGAACCATACAAAGGAGAAGACTGGGATTCTCAAAGCTGAAAGATTGCGAGATGCTTTGCACGAAGTCGGTACGTGGAAATGCGGCCTTATTACAAACTTCCTTAAGTTAAATGCCACTTATTATTTTTAGGCTTCCAATTAAATACGGATGTGCTGTCGATTCTTATTCTTCGATACATGAGAAAAGATGGAACATTGCGCTTTGGCGACTTCGTATCCGCAATTCTCCACCTGAGCAACGCGTTCGGTAAGCGGCGCGCCTCTTGCATGCAAAGCGATTTAGCGTTATGGAGCGACAAGCACTCACTTAATTCGGCATTCTAGGAATATTCGACAGCAAAGACCCGCTACAGAACGGAACGATCAAGCTGAGCTTAGCCGAGGTAGGTATTCATTTTTTGCCGTACACAAAGACATGACACATGACGCAAAACACATGTCGATACCATTTCCATCTGTTCCAGTGGCTACGTTCGTCTTTAATGTGCTGATAGATGAACACTTCCCCCTCTCGGGTCTCAAACAACTGTAAATAGCAAATGTCTATAGTACTTCTTTCGAAACCGTCGAGATGTTCGTAAGGATGGTCCGATGCACTTCTCTTTTATTATTTTCTAGAGATCACTGCAACCGGCTGCAATTCTCTATTAATCGATCAGCTGCAACTACTTATGTCGGGGCCACCAGAAATGAGCAAATAGTTATTTATCAGCTTTGCTGATTACATTAACGGATTGAGTCGCTCTGCATTCTCCATGACTATTTCATATCCTCGCCACCTCACCCTCGTCCCGTCATTAAATCTCTTAACTCTTCGATTGTAGCATACTTACACAACGCGCGATTCCTATTTCGATTGATCGACATGTCATGTATAAAAGACTTTCTCTGCGAACACATCGTGAAAGATAATAAAACTAAGATTATTTTCTATATAAATTTTGTGCATAAAACTTTTTATTTATTTAACATATATTCTCATGATAATTATCGAAAACATAAAAAAAAAGCGTGCAACAGCATAAAAATTGATTATCAGCAGTTCATCTGGTAAGTATGGAGAAGGGGATAAGGGAGATGATAGCGTATCCAAAAGTCGACGGAAGTACACAAATGATGCCAATGTGTATATCATTTTGTACTCCAGCATATAGTAATGATCTCAAATGGTAACGGTTTCTCAAATTTTCATATTTGTGGACCTATTGTCGAAAAAATAAAGTGAGTGCGTATATTCCTAGACAACCGCTAGTATCTTCGCGGTGTACGGCGCCCCTATTGTAGATACAACAATATTTCGAGTAATTCCTTATAAACAGGATAGGTTGACACGTAGGCTCTCACGACGCTACGGGGAGAGATGAGTGGGGAGATGCACAACGCTACGGTTTTAGACGATACCAAAAGCATGGCGCTGAATCCCAGCGGCGAGTCCGGATGTAGAGTTATGTCATCATAGCCTCCGTCCATAATGCGGATCCCGTCGTAGCCGAGCTAACCGCGATCACGAACGTGTAGCCTGGCGGCAGAGTCCTCCGCTACTTATCGCTGGTTCCCAAAGCAACACTTGGAACGAGACAACTCATCGGATATAGCCTAAATACTTTTTTTCGTTGCAATCCTAAATTCGATCGCACAGTGTAAGCTCAGTAAGTTTAATATGACAAAAGCAAGCAACTCATGCCTGCCTGCACCGAAGCGTATGATGCCACTAACATATTTAATACATATTTTACCAATGTTGCGTAGCAGAACGATTGTCAAAAACTATCAGGACCTGTAGAACTTCTCGAGAACTATTGAAAAAGCCTATTGTTGAATCATTTTTAAGAGATTTTAAAAAAGTGCGGTGCTGGAGCTGACATCCGTGTAGCACGTCCATTTTTGTAGTGTTAATATAATATGTATTATATGTATTAATATAACATGTATAAATATGTATTTTAATAGAGAGTCCACAGTGTTCTTCTCTCGT